AAAAAAATTAGCAAAATCCATTACATATTATGATACAGTAAACAAAATATGACACAGGTTTTCGCCACTGGTGATTCGGCCATCCCAATGGTTCACAGAATATATGCTACATCGGACTCCATCGCCCTGGGTGCTCCCTACCCTTGGGCAGGGCCATGAGAATGGAACGAAGAGAAACAGGCGCGAAAATTGTCTATAGAAAGGAACTTAAACAGTCAATTCAGCTATAAAATACCATTTACATCACAAAGATTAAGGGCGAAATAAATTTTCCTTTTACTTGTCTGCCCAAGTGGGGAGGGGGGGGGGGTGCAAATCTTCTATCTGGGCTGCTGCGGCTTCCCCACAGGGGCGTAGCAAAATATTAAATACATTTCAATTTCATAATTTTATTGTCATTTTTAATCCTATGTGACTACTTTCGGTCCAGTTACCCACTCGAGTATCTACTGTTTGCAGTTACAGGCGGCGCTCAGTGACCTACATACATGTTATATTTATTTTTATTACACCCTTTATTTTATTTTTTATTTTTGTATTGGCTATTTCCAAGTGTTCTTGTTAGAATTTCACACAAGGAGCCTGGTGAAAACCTAATATGGCATAGGCGCGGCAAATGAAAATTTTAGAACATTCGGCGGACTTAACATCCTCATACCGTAATTTCTCTGCTACTGAGTATAGCTAGAGCGTTCATTTGTGAAAATACCTCTTGACAACATCACAACTATAATTCGTACTAAACATTGGGTGGTATTTTACAGCATTTGAGATATAAATATGCTTTTTAGACTTACAGAGTTTGGGGATGAATATTGTAGAATTTTCTTACTAACGCACATATTTTTTGCCGATGATCCCCCCCCCCCACACACACACACACCAGAACTGTCATTACGAAAATTTTGCGGTGTTGAGTATCTAAATTTAAATGCACGCCATGCACACGATTTCCTAAATCAGGGGTCGGGAACCTTTTTGTCTTCCCACACACACACACCAGAACTGTCATTACGAAAATTTTGCGGTGTTGAGTATCTAAATTTAAATGCACGCCATGCACACGATTTCCTAAATCAGGGGTCGGGAACCTTTTTGTCTGAGAGAGCCATGGACACCACATATTTTGAAAAGTAATTCTGTGAAAGCCATGGACACAACATATTTTGAAAAGTAATTCTGTGAGAGCCATAAGTTATGTTTAAAACAAAAAATTCAAGTGTGCATTTAGAGAGGGCTAAAATTTCCAAAACTTGAAATTTATTATTTATTATTAACGGGAATAATATTTTTTTCAACGGGCCTCTGAAAATCGTAGTTTTAGTGGGTCTCTGCGTACAATCGTAAAAGACATCTAAAAATGGTACATTGTACGCCAAAATCGTCAGAGTAAACAGGTCTGCAAAGTGGTTTGACTTCATCTTTGGATCGGCGAAGCCATAACTGAAAGTGTGATGGTCGGTATGTTGCGAATGGGTAGTGGAAAAGAATTCCATTGTTTAGGGGCACAGAAAGAGACCATGATGCAGAAAATAATCAGTAGTGTCTGTGTGTGTTTCTCTTTGCTTTTATGCGTTCGACGTCGCAGGAGTTGTCGAAACTTTCATTGTGTCAATGTCTTACCGCATATGGGACTCTCTGGGCTTCATTTCAGAGTTTGCCTTCTCTTAGAGGAATTGCCATCCAAAATTAACGAGTACTATCCACCCCGGGATGCTGGGTTTTTGTTTTCTCTGATATCGGTGGGAAGAATTTTAACTCCAGATCTCTAGCTCTTTGGATTGACTCAGTTTAGATCAAACCCAGAGATGGAGTCCCATAGACGAATATCATCAACACAATGAAAGCTCCTGTGACGCTAATTGCTCCAAGCTGTATCATACACATTGATGTTCCCTTGGGTTATCCCGGTGCCTGGAGGGAGACTATTTGATGTCTATGAAACCAGCTAATCCTCCTAAAAATAAAAATCCCAAGCCTTGTGGTTTCTTCCAGCAAAGTCTACACCTTCGTCACATTATGACAGACTCAGACGGATCCCAGAAAAAATCCTTTGAAAAAAAAAACAAGCAAATAAATATAACTGAAAGTAGGCTTTTGTTTACAGAATATTAAATTTAAACATCACAACATAATTTTTCTATTAATTATGGAGTGTGTTAAAGACATCGGTAATCTACCACTTGAGCTTCGGCCAAGAAAAAATCCAGTTGTTCCGTTTGGAAGGGCTAGTTAAACAACTATTCTTACATTGGAGGCTGTTAATATTTTTGCTTCCGTATAGAGGCTCTAAAGTTATATAGCATAATACTGATACATTTAAATAATTATTACTGCCAAGCTACCGATATGCCAGGAAGAAAAAGAGACAACAATTATTTTTTTTTATCCAGATAACGCGGATGTCCACACACAGACTGTGGAAAACATGAATGCTCAGAAAGCGTAAACTGAAAAGACAGTTTGGCACAAGAAGCGCCGGTGATCTTTCCCCTTTATATTTACGTGAATTCATGTACCACAACCGTTTTCGTGGAAATTATATTTTTTTAAACTTTATTGTCAACTTGGGGAAGAACTATGCATAATTCCATTTTCACACATTATCTTCTATTTCAAAAAAATTGTTATAGTTTTTCTTTTTTAAAAATATTGTCTATTATTATGGCCCAAACGGTCAGTAGTTCAATGTCCCGGTGGCGAAACGGCGCCTGTGAAGCGGCACACGCGAAATTGTGGCAGCGAAATGGTACATCCCCCATCCCCCCACACAATTATGGGAATGAATACGTACAACCAATGCCAATGTCATTAAAAATAATATAAGAATAGTTGTTTAAATAGCCCTTCCAACCGGAACAGCTGGATTTTTTCTTGGCCGACGCTCAAGTGGTAGATTACCTAGGTACTTGGGTAAACCAGTTTTCTGCTAGTGTCAAATAATTACAGAGTTACGTGCCTCTTGTTCAACTTTTTGTCCACTTCAAAATGTAAACATTGCTATGCATTGGGAAAAAATGTGTTTTGTGGTTGTTTCTTTATTAAATAGGTCGTGTGATATATCATTTTAAAGAGAATTGGAAGCTGAATAATACTGTGTCTTCAGATTTTTAATCATGATTGAAAAAAAAAATATATACCAAGTTGAATTAAGCTAAGTCTACTACTTAATTTCTTGTAGAGACTCCACCAGATGCAATTTTCATGATAACCACTGTTTAGAGCATCCAATTATCTACAAGAATGGGCAAATTAAAAGTCCCCCCAACCTACCCCAACAATTTTATTAAATTTTCAAAACAGTCACCACATGGGTGTTTTTCAAGATGGCCGAATCCACCTCAGCAAATCATTTTTAAATCTTAAGCAATCTGATTAATAAACAATGTTAAAAGCACTATTTTAAGTTTTTTGAGATTAATATTATTAACAAAGAATACATATGAATAGATATTTAATTGTATTTCTTTATTTAAATAGTGAAACTTCCACTCCCACATAATAGGCCTATTAGGGAGTTTGGCCTTAGCTATCTGACACATTTGTAGCATGGAAATATTAAGAAAAGTATATTTTATCTTCATAATAGATTTAAAATTAAGATTTCTTTAGTATTTAGATGAATTGATACTTTGAAATGCTTCACACACACACAAATACTTTGTTTTATCTTTTTAAAGGCCTATCAAATGACATCATAATGTTAATCATATTTGCAATTTGTAGGCCTTAGTTGAAGCAGCACAATTCTTTTTTAATTGTAGGGATTCTATGAAAAACTAATGCTACACTTAGCAAAAAGAATATAGAATTTAAAGATACCCCCTATGCAAGAAAAACTCCTACTGCCTACTATAATCTACATATTGTACATTTAATATCCGAAAATTGATTTGCTATCGGTGATATAGAATAAATTAAATTTTTAATGGACACATTGGTTCACCTTTCCATATGCTACTTATTATGTTTCCCCTTTTCAATACGAACAATTTGATATACATGACCCTATATTTTGAAGAATATTGTTCATATTCAAATATGAAATATGGAAATTTTACTGCCGTTTTGAATATTAATGAGCACATCTTGCGTACCATAGAATTTATTGTATGACGTCTGTTTGGATAACGATCACGGATATATATGGTTTGGGTAAATGTTAACACGCAAAGGACGTCATGGGTATTAGTTCCAACAATAGCCATGGTTTGTTATTGTTATCTTCATTAAGCCATTAATCATTAAATAACTTCAATTTACTGCTCTTTTTTAACATCTCTCCCAAATCTCTGCCCAATTTTTATTTCAGTCACTTTTATATTTTCCTATATGTCTCAATTAACAGAGTTATCCCAAAATAATTCAAGAAAAAAATCATAACTTTCTTTAGAATTGACCTACAAACATAAATTTGGTATCAATGAATTGCATTTTTCAGGCCCTATCTAACCAACTAGCTCTTAAAGCTATAAATTCATTTTGAAAATTTTACCCAAGTACCTAGATTACCAAGACATCCTCAAAGTGAAGAACACGAACCTGAACCTCACGACTTGCGGCAGATTACCAACTGAGCCATTCATTAAGTGTAACGCGGTCTACTGTATCATATTTTAACCAGCCTAACCCGAACTCTAACTCTAAATCGATCCCTGTGCCCAACCTTAACAAAGACGACGTGGGCCGCTAAATCTGCAACAGCCATATTTTTTAATCGTAATATATTTTTTAATTACCATCGTAGAAGACGACAAGACATATATACTTACGCATTCCATTGCATACAGTGATTGAAAATTGAAATAACAAAATAACATTGACAGTGCCTTAGAGTTAGACTTAGAAAGTTTTTTAAATCTTTTGTGCTCAGAAATAAAAATAATTTGAAAAGCTTTTATACCCAATAGAAATCTTTGATAAAGAGCAAAATAATTTTATGCGGTCCTTTTGTCTTGCAACCAATGAAATAATACGTAGAATTATCTTCATTTGTTGTCAAAATGGCTTCAACTTCTCAGAAGCCGAAAAAGGGTATTTTAAAACATTCAGGAAGTATCGATCACAGGTACACGAAGCTATTGTATTTTATTATTTATCTTATTAAAAAAAATTAATCCACTAGTTTGCTTTTTATATGTAGTTAGGAGCCAGATATTAAATCAGGAGTATTCGGGAATATGAGCATCAAGATCCTAGTCCTAGGCCTAGGCAAGTCTGGTACTCGTACTATCGGACTCTGACATCAGTGACTGATGATTTATGGTGTTTTATGTGGACCCTTTTATGAGTTCTACTTCTAGTCAATTTAAACATTTATGTATGTTACAATTCTGGTAAAAGTGCAGTTCAGGTGCGTATATTATTTCTTAGCGCATTTCGTATTTTAACATTTTTTTATCATGTAAACTTATGTCTTAGTTAGTCTTATAGTGTATTCTTTAACTTTAATAATTTAATACAGGCAGTTATAGTTAACTAATTCTGAATTATAAATCACATCTTTTCTTTTTATTTTACTTCTAAAGAGTCATTAACCATCCCCCAACCAAAGTGACACAGCCCCCCATTTGTTTGTATTTTTCTTTTTACGCTATGCCAGATTTTTAGCCACCTATAAGTTAGTATGCTAAACGAAATTTTCAAACTAAGCATGTTCACAAAAAAGAATGAAATACTAGATTCTTCATTCCCCCCCCTGCCCCAACTTTCTTTTTTTTCCCCCTCAGAGAGCTCGGAATATAGGGGGTGTCCTTTGAAGTCGGGTCGGGGGGGGGGGGGAGATTAGAAGTGGATCACTGACTAAGGCAGTGGACACACACGTCATCATCGTCCTGGACCTGGTGTGAAGCTGATCACCCTGAAGGCTGCTAATATGCTGTCCGTGATTGGTCAGCTCTAATTTGAGCACCCCACCTCTTTTTTCGTATGCAAATGCGCTTATTACTGGTGCCTGATTTGCGCTGAGTAAAGTGAGGGCTAGTGATTATTTTTTTTATATTATAATACGGACTCGTTTTGGCTTTGCGGTATTGCTGGTTGTAGGATCATTTTGTTTAAAATTGCAGGACGACCAAGAAACAATAGCTAAAATTATTGATGCAACAGGCATTTTTAATGGTGCAGCATTTGGCTTATATGCGCACCTTGTGGGGCAACAAATAACGTTAATACAACTGGAATTTCTCCTAAGGCGCTCGTAACAATTGCAATGTGGCTTGTAAGCTGGATTCGTATGTCAAGTATGTGAGCTCCCCATAATTACCGGGATCTGCATATCACCCGAAACGGGATCTCACCCAAAACAGGAGCTCACCGTAACCGGTATCCCGCCAGGATCGGTAACCCACTGGATCGGGATCCCACCGGGATCAGGATCTCACTAGGATCAAAATCCTATCGGGATCGGAATCTCACCGAAACGGGATCCCACCGGATTGGGATCTCATTTAGTTTGGGATAACACCGGAAACGTATCTCACCGGGATCGGTATCTTACCGGGATCGGGATCCCACCATGACCAGGATTCTATCAGAATCACATCGGGTTCGGGATCCCATCATGATCCTTCCGGGTGCCATTGGAAAACAGGAAAAACGAAAGGTTTACATAAGTTATTTTACTTGTTTTTAATAGGAGACAAATTAATTATTATTATTTTTACTATAGTTTGTAGTTGACATTTCCTTTAATAACAATGTGAACTAAAAGGACGTAGCAGATGGTTTTTTCTGAACGCAGCCCCAGACAACTCCGGTTATAGTTGATAGTAAAGTTATGAAATAAATGCATCATTTATTTTAACAAGATTCATGCAATTGGGCAACTTTTATAAAGTATCTTTAAAGACAGAAGAGTTATCCTTGATTTACCACAATGGCTCCGTAAAACACGAAAGATTCATAAAAATGTACTTTTTTTATCTCGTAAAATTTGTTAAATTGTTGTTGTATTCCAATAAAAAGATGGTATATAACTTTTAAAATACTTTTTATAAAGAATTAACATAAGTTTACATGGGAAAATAAGAGATTCAAACAGAAATAATATACGCACCTGAACTGCACTTTTACCTACCACAATTCTTACTAAAAATTTAGTTTTTGGATACTAAATGATTACACACAAATAGTGAAATAAGATTTAGGCAGAAAGAAACAGATAGTCTGAGAATGAACATAAAAATTATTAAAACTCAGAACTGGTTACCGGAAATTTGATCCAAAGAAATTTCGTTGATGGTAAATTGATCAACAGTAATTTGATCGAATAAAAATTTGGGCGAATCTTTTTTTTCAGTTCACATGACCTGTTAAAATTTTCGTCAATTTACCAATAATTCAATAATGGTAATGCCAATGCGTTCAAAAAGACATTTAAATTTTAAAGCAAAATTTAAAGTAACAACTGAAAAAAAAGATTCAGCTAACTCAGATTGATCAGCCTGTGACGTCATTTGCGTGTTTATTGGTACTTTAAAACTAGTTGATGCACTGATCTGGGCATGTCCAAAAATGTCGAAAAAACTTGTTCTAAAATAGGGCATACAGCTACATGGTATCTTTGGAAAATTGCATACTATGTCACCTTTGTTTATTAAATAATTGCTTTCCTCATCAGTGACGTATCAGTTTTTGTGTTCCGGTCATATATTGATTTATGCTACTAGATTTTTTTGTGCAAAACGGACAGTTTTATTATGACTCGATAACAGATAATGTTCTTCTGAGATTAAAAACATTTGTTTAATTATTATTTCGAATTAATATAATTAAGATTCATATTTATTTTTAAAAATTGACAAAAGCTACTGCGGCCAAGATATTGGTATGTTTTTATTTAAATTCTTCATTTGTACACTAATAAAGCTATTGTTATAAAAAGTGTACACTGTAAAAGTGTCACACTGAAATTAAAGACATTTTTATTAATTATCTTTTCCCATTAAAGTAAAGGACCTCCACATTTTAAGAACATATTTGATGAAAAACTACTGCATGCGACATAGTGTTGCATTTAACTACTTCATTTTTAAACTAATAAAGTTATTTTAATAAAAATTTTAACAGTCACAGATAGTGTCAAGCTAAAATTAAAGAAATTTTATTATTTATTCCACTTGCTAGGTCTCAAATGCTTGTAAAGCTGAGTTTTTGTCATGTTCGAAGCCAACTTTGTAATTATTTGTTCTTCCCCTTAAAGAACTATAACTCTGGATGACAAGGGAAGTAATAACCCCAGTTACACTACCATATAGAGCTCGGGTGGCCAACGTTAGGCCTTTGATACGGCCTGTTGGAAGTCATGTTGTGACCCAGACCCAACGGAGCTTGGTCAAATGAACATAAATGTTAACTTTATTGTACATATCACCAAAAGAACATTACATGATGAGGCGTTCATAACATATATTTTTTAATTATAGCTAAGAAAATGTTGAAATATCTCGCATTTTAAAAAAATTATTTGTTTTTGAGCTATTTTAAATATCCCATATTTTGGGGAAAATTCATTTACTTAAGTTTTTTTGCCCGACACTAGGCGTTGATAAAATTTAAAATGAGACTTAAACTCCTGATATATATGATCTGTGGTCTTCAGCATCTTAAATGTATGTATGTAAAAGCTAATTATGCAGTAGCAATGAAAAAAGCAAAAAAATTGAATCCATATCCAGATGGTGAAATGGTTAAGGAATGTTTGGAGAGCTTCGCTGAAATACTGTGTCCAAAAAAAAGAAGAAGGATTTGTAAAAAATAAGTCTGTCTGGTCAGGCATGTGGACCACATTGGAAAATATATTGAAGATAATTTGAAAAGCATCAGAGTTTATATTTTATGCTCTAGCATTGGATGAAAGAACAGATATGGAAGATACTGTCCAACTGGCAATTTTTATCAGGGTCGTCGATGTCCATTTTAAAAAGACGGATGAATTATTAGCGGCACTGTATCCACTTTAGGACACTACTAGGTCACAAGATTTGTTAGAGGCAGTTACATCGACATTGAATCGCTTTTCATTACAACTTAGCAACTTATCGGGGTTAACAACGGATGGGGCTCCAGAAATTGTTGGAAAACACAAAGGTTTAATCAGATTGATGGAAAAAGAGGCCTCCAAAGTCAGGAATACTTCAATGCTAAATTTTTATTGCATTATTCATCAGGAGACCATTGGACCATGGCATCAAAGTGGTTGTCAATAGAGGTATCTTCATTAAGTCGAGCGGCTTGAATCACTGTCAGTTCCGAGAATTTCTAAAGTCTTTGGACTCAGATTAAAATGAGGTTGCATTTTATGCATAAGTAAGATGGGTGACCCATGCCAAAATGTTGAAAAGAGTGTTTAATTTGCTGCAAGTAATGTAATACAATCATTCTTTGCAAGCAAGTCAATAAGAATACCAGGGTTTGAAGACCAAGAGTGAGTTTGGGACTTTGCATTTCTGGTCGATATGACTAGTCACCTAAATGACGTTAATACTCATCAACAAGGGAAAGATCAGTTAATTAATAAGATGTATGATCATATTTCTGCATTTCCAATGAAACTTGTTCTTTGAGAGCAACAGTTGAGGATAAAACTTTTTACTCACTTTCCTACATTGTCATTGCAACCAGATGTCACACAGGAGGCGGCAGATAAATATGCTTCTTTGATATCTGATTTAAACCTCCAATTTGAAAACCGATTTCAGGATTTTTAAAAACATTATGTGCTTTTTGTGCATTTGCAACACCATTTATTACCAGCAAGATTACAAATGGAATATTGTGCAATGTGTTATGATACACAGTTACATGAGAAATTCCATCAAGTTGGTTTGGAAGAGTTCTATTATACATATTTGGACAAGGATAAATATCCTGTTTTTACCAACATACTCTGTCAGGCTATTGCTATTTGGAAACATTTATGCATGTGAACAGCTTTTTAGTCACATGAAGCACCTCAAATCACCACTTAGAACACGAATCACTGATGTTTATTTGGAACACTGTTTGCGTGTAGCGACATCAATCAAGATCAGTTTTGATGCACTTAGTTCTGCAAAAAAAAAAGTCTAATAAATATGTTTGATTCTCAGTTATGTTTTATTTTCTTTAAAAAAATAAAGAAACCTATCTCTTGTTGCTTTTTTACATTAAACCAGGCAAGCGTTTGACCACCATCTCACCTACTGGGAAGCCACCATGTTGTCAAAGCTGTAGCATGCTTGCTTGCTTACTTTAATTAACAAAAGTTGTGTAGCCCGGCAGGAAATATAAAAAACTGGCATTTTCCTGCTCCGATACCCATTTCCTGTAAACAAATTTTATTGGTCTCCCTTGCTTTACCGAGGTGCCTACTTCATTAACCACATCCATTATCAATTTATGACATGAAGAAGGGAAAGTTGTCACACATTGTTCAGGTCCAACAACTGGTCTGTTCATTATGGGTCCAGTGTTTTGGGATTCCCCAAAGTGATGTCACTGAGCTTAGGGTGAGATAACTCTTGGAATAACTAAACATTTACCAAATTCAACTCTAAAACTTGTGTAATTTTTAAAATGTGAATTTATCCAATTTTAATGTCTGAATAAGTGAATTTAGGTAATTTAGTTGATTTTTTAAATGTCAGTTATTGTTTTTAGCCTAAATTTTTAATATGGCCATAGATTGTTTTACCTCCAACAGGTGGAGAAATTTTTTAAAATCTTAAAATTTTTACTGATATTATATTTATTATTATTTTTTTTTTACATATATAGGCTTTTTTTCAACTTTGGAGCTATATATTTTTTAATATCTGTATCTAAGGGCTATTCCTAATTATATAATATATATAGGTACATCTTAAATGATTCTTAGTCATATATTGGGCGTTAGTTGTATGGCATTGTAATCAATGTTTAATTATTCTTGCCCATGATCACACGTTTAATACTAACATTCAAGAAAGAAATAAAAAATGCTGTGAAATCTAGTTTTCCTTATATTAAAAGACTTGAAAATGATTTCTAATTTTTTTTTATGAACAACGAAAAGTTCTTATGGACTTTCACTGTCAAGTCATTTTATGTACAATAATAATTGACTGTAAATTTATGGACAGTTGGCAACCCTGATCTCCACTTAAACAGTATCACATGTTTGTGACCCAATACTGTTGGTTTTTGCTCGATTCTATAATTGTTTATCAATTTAGCCATTTTAAGATTGAAGCTATAATTAAAGATGTCACGCAAGGAGGTATTGGTGGGGAAGTGGGGGGGGGGGGGTTTGGGGGGGTCACACATTTGTCTCAAAGTTTATAACATTATGAGAGTGTCTAAATTTTGTGACAAATTTGTAATGGTTTGGAGGGGTGTGGGTGAGGGATTTTGGCCTATCTATCAGGACATCAATTATTTTAAGCTCATTAAACGACACTCAGATAAGTGACGATTTAAATTATTTGCGACAAAATTATTATTTTTCCCACAGAAAAATATTGCAGTGGTATTTTTTGTATTTCTTAAACAATAATTTGTCTTACTATAAGTGTAAGGCTCATTCCCAAAACATCGGTAATGTATGTGGTGTATTTCCTTAAGAATGTGACCTTTGTCTACCAATATCAATATAGTAATAGTCTTACTATAACTATAAGGCTCATTCCCAAAACATAGGTCATTCCCAAAACATCGGTAATGTATGTGTATGTGGTGTAACATCCTTAAGAATGTAAGCATTGTCTACCAATATCAGTAAAGTAATTATATAATTTTTAAATTTAAATATTAAGCCTAGTGCCACTAGTGGCACAGGAATTTTTAGATAAATCTCAAGTAGTAAAGCACATGTCCACTGTGCAGTTCAGGAAACTGCTTAAATTTTACTAGTGATGAGTAGAAGTCTGGGTCTGTGAAGCCAGAAACATTTCTTTTGACTATGACATCATGTGCTGTCTTTTTCTGTTGCAGATTAAAGAAATAAAATAAATCACAAAAGATATTCTTTGGGAGTCTTTTATAAAACATTATCACAGTTTAGAACACCACAGACCTTTTAAGTAATGGTTTACCCTTTAAGTATAATCCATGCATACTTTACTATGTAGGGCCACTGACTAAATTTGTATTTTTTTTAACTGGTTAGCGTGGCACATATATTACAGGTTATCAAAATCAAAACCACATTCTGGCAACAGTAAATATAGCCCTTGTGCATGTCTGTGTTCAAAAAAATCTATAGACGAGGATGGGTAAAAGAGTTAAATAAGCTTTGAAATTTGAGTTTGTTTTCACGTTAACAAAGTGTTCAATTTCTTCAGCCAATTTTTTAATCTTTGCAGAACACAAGGTGTGTATTTTAAAAGAAACGGAGAAATAATAGGTTCTGCCGTAACAAAATGTTGTTTAGTTTTTAAGTTATTGTAATGTTTATTTTTAAAAAAAATGTATTCCTGGATATTTAAAAAAAAAAAATGATTTGTGTTGTAAAAACAGCTATTTGTTTGTGATGGAAGGCTGACTTTGTTTAGTGTTTTAAAAAAAAATGTGGCAAGCTCCATCTTTGCCGTACATGGTTTTTATTTCACTCATGAGATGCTCATTTCATGACACTAGGAATTGTATGGTTTTACTTTTTTAACACAATTTACAGAACTTTTGGTTGATATTATTTTTGTATTCAATCTAAATTTATTTAATAAAGCTTTATTTAGTTTGTCATTACAATGTTGGTGATAAATTTACTTGCAAATTTACAGCAACCTGACTTAAACTAATTAAGAATGCTAAATAGTAATTTTAAAGAAAAGTATTTGTTGTTTCAAAGTTAGGTTAGAAGTAAAGGGAAAATTCTTTATTGATTAATCGTTTTCTTTTTTTTTTAAAAGGAAACATTTTGCTTTCTGTCAGAGTATTTGTCACAACTGTAATTGTTTATTTGCAGTAATTATTCCAGGAAGATACTCTTGAAAAAGGCCCTAAATATTCTGTAAAAACTCTAGCTAGAATGAAGTAATCCTAACCAAACAGTGTGCAATGGGGTCAGTAAATGGAACTTTAAACAAGCCAAAAGCTGATTTCATGATTGTTTTGTTTAGATAGCTTCCCCCTTAACAGGAGATACGACAAAATATTCAGGGCTGTTTTGGAGTCCATCTCCCCGAAAATTACTCCTGATAAAAGGAAAATGTCATATTGTGATGTAGTCAGCGCTATAAATTTTTACGTTCAGCTTTTGAATATTAAAAGAACAATTTATTTGTGCACTAAATAAGTTAATATTTTGACTCTGACTTTTCTTTGTGAAATGTCCACAAATTATTGAAAACTCACTCTATTAAAAGAATTTTTTTATAAGAATTGTTAAAATTATAAGCATCTAATTATTATTCAAAATGCTATTTTTTATTATTTATTTATTTTATTTTTTTTTTTTCATTTTATTTCTCACAAACCCTGTTCATTTAATATGCCTTAATTTTCAATGATGTGATTTACCTGAAGTTTTAAGTAACTTTTTTTTTTTTTTTTCATCTATTTTTTTTTTTTTAAATATTTTTTTTTTTTTTTTTGTTTTTTCTGAATTTTTTAGTTATTTTTTTTTTTTTTTTCACCTATTTTTTTTTTTTTAAATAATTTTTTTTCCAGTAAAAAAGAAATAGAATGGGATGAAATGAACATCCTCGCTACATATCATCCCCCAGACAAAGATTATGGGTTCATGAAGGTGGACGAGCCGCCAACACCCTACAACAGAGCAGCTGTATCAGATAACGAGGATGAGGCCACCAGTGAAAGGAAAGGGAGTATAAATTCATTGGCCGGGATCGACCCAGCTTTGTTAGCCAAAAGGTAATTGGCTCAGCAGAGAAACTTCATTTCTATGTTGATTGATGTCACATTTTAAACAGTGACTTTTTACTACCTGTACCATTACTTTTTTACTATTTTGAAATTTGAAATTCTTACTAAGCTAAAGTTCCACATATTTTAAATTTTAAAAAAAATGTTAAAATGAAGTGCAGCGTTTAATATTTTGTCTTAGGCTGGCAGACAAGGGCGAGTCAAGCAAAGAGAAGCATTTTTATGCAGACGATGATGATGACGAGTCAGTTCATGAGAATGAAACAGAGGAAGAGAGAAGTAAGATTATTCCTCATATAACTATATTTATGTTCTATGGATTTATTTATTTTTGGACGCACTTGAGTTGTTTCTTTTTTTTTTTTCTCTCTATTACAAATAATATAAGAGTTTGTTGTCTTTATTAAACTATTAAAAGAATAATTTTTTTTAAGCTTATGAATCTTACTTTACTGTTTTATAAACATTAATGTTCTCTTAAATTGTACAAGTTTATTTGCTGGTTGTGGGTTAACAAAGGGTGGCAGCTTGACTCTTTCATATTTCAGTTAAAACATTAAACTTACAAGCTCTCCTAATTTCCACACAGAGAAGAGGAAGGCGTTCATGCTGAAGAGGAAGATGCATTACAATGAGTTCCAGGCGGTGCAGCTGGCCAAGAAGCTGATGGCCGAAGAGGATGACGACGACGACGACACGGGAGCGAAAAAAGCCGGCGGCGCAACTGCCTCAGGTACTTGTAGTGAAGTGCCTCCTTGTGTTCAAGAAAATGAAAATAATAGCAGCTCAAATGATGATGAGGAGTTGGTTGGGTCAGCTGTTGTTGACCCTTGAGGCATAACAGAGCTGATTTCTTGCATTGACATTTTTTTAAGTCCAAGGCTAATTCCACATCCTGCTTTTGAACAATGTACTCTTGAGGTGAACGTACATCTGCCAGGTTAAAGCGTATGCACCCGAATATTGCCCTTGGCCTGTTTTAATGACAAGTAATTCATCAACCCACCTCCACCCCTCTCCTCCTCCCACCCTCACCCCTGTTATTTTATTTGTATGAAAATACTTTTGTGACACATTTCTTCAATGTCATTCCCAAGCGGTGTTAATTCAACTACTCACAACTACCACATGTCCAGCATCTCAGTTATTTTATCGATCCGTCTATGAGAAAATTGGTACTGGCTATAAAGCATAGTTTTGACAAATTTGCTAGAAAAATGAGTTCCCTGGATTGAATTTAGTGACAGTGTATCCCATGAATTGAGGAATAACGTATTGAATTGATGTAAAGTGTAATGATAAAAATTACTGCTTACTTTGTAAAGTTACAAAAATTGAATGTTATCGATGTATATGTATGGTCATATTTTTAAATGTACAAGTTCCTTCTGGGGTAGATACCTTTGAACTACAATGTGATCAGTAGTTTTAGATTGTGGTATCTTGTTAGCATTAAAAATTAAATAAACATTCTGGTGATGAAAAGTCTGTCAGTTTCTAGTGTATAATTGACCACAATTCTTTCTAAGAAATATATACTAAATATATGATATGATAAATTTGTTAATGGCAAGGAAGCTGTCATGGCTGATGATGTCACAGCAAGATGTTAGCAGTTTTTAAAAAATATTTGATTGTGTTTCTTTTACAAACTAACTTGAACACATTTTACACAAACCTGAAGGTAACTAAACATGCTAGATGACTTATAATTTTTAAAAAAAAATAAAACAATTCTGGGGAGCAGATGAATTTGCCTATATTGGTGTATTATAGGTATATATATTTTTTTTAACAATGTTCATGACATGGCAGAAAGTTATCTTATGCAAATTTAATTTGAAACCTACAAGGTCGTAGCCTAGTGTTGTACAATTTGTTTCCTATACACAATCCATTATATCACTGTGTCTATTATGTTTAGTTTTATTCCACTTTTTTTCGATTTTTTTTTCCTTTCTTTTTTGATGTAACTTTGTTTTTGTTGTCAATGGAAGGACAAGTCACAATTTCAACTCACATATTCTATGAAAACCGATTGTGCAATTGTATAGATTAATGTGCGGCATTGGTATGAAACTTTGTTACTTGCCGTGCACTTGGCGAGATACAATCAAACGCTGCTCTGGCTCCATCAAATTATTACATATGCAGCATTAAAGTTTGGTGTGAAATAGGAGATTTTTTATGATTGCAAGCTTGAACACCTGAAAAGATACATTTCATTCATTGCTGATTGTAATTTTTTTTTTTTTTAATAGTTTCAAAATAGTTTTTCCTCAATAAGTTAACTGCTTGTAGCAGAGAGATTATATCTAATTATCTCCATGAACATAATGCAAGCAAAAAAATAACAAAAATTGGTTGGATTCTCCACTGCATCATCAGAAATATATTAGGGTTCTGGGAACTTTGCTATCATGTAATTTTGTAATCGGATATGTATATCAGTAATGTATATCTTTTTTGTTACATTCTGTTTATAATTGATGTACATTTTGAGAAAACGAAAGCAGACATTCTTCAGAAACTGTTTAAATTATGGCACACAACATAATCTAAATAAACCTGGCTGTTGGCGAGAGGGTTAGGGTTTAGTTCTTGTTTAGATACTGTGAGTGGGATTGTTTCAACTGGTTAGGGTCAGGGTTAGGGTTAGGGTTTAGTTCTAGTTTAGATACTATGAGTGGGATTGTTTCAACTGGTTAGGGTTAGGGTTTAGTTCTAGTTTAGATACTATGAGTGGGATTGTTTCAACTGGTTAGGGTTAGGGTTTAGTTCTAATTTAAATACTATGAGTGGGATTGTTTCAACTGGTTAGGGTTAGGGTTTAGTTCTAATTTAAATACTATGAGTGGGATTTTTTCAACCGTGCACACAGCTACCCGCTAGTTGCAAGTTACAATTTTTTTCCATTTGATGATATCCATAAAATACAGTAGCTGAGAATTTCATGAAGAAACCAAACAATGACACCTAGTGAATAAATTATTTAGAGTAGCCAAGAAAGAATTGCAATACATTTGTGGAATTGACCAAATATATCAGATCAACACCAGGTTTTTAACAAAAAATGTATACAAGGGCGAATCAGAAATTCTGGACCTGAAGAAATAAGTCTTAATGCAGAGATAAATTGTTTAAATTTTATATTCACAGTCTTTGTTGAAATAACCAGTACAAAAAGGCATAGTCCTGAGACCTTGAACATTGTCCCATGACTTGTTTCAGGTCAAAGTCCAACTTAATCTGATCACAAATCTGTCCATTTTTAAACAGGCCCGAAACAAAAACCGAAACAGAAAGGGTGAGTTGATCATCTGGAAATTTCAAATTTCCTTTTTATGTTTTCTGGGGCTTTTTTTTTTATAACCATTATTTCAGCATCCCAATGATTGTTTAACTTGTAATATTCAATGTTAGCCTACTTGATTGCACATGGACATGTTCATTTTTTTTTTGTTGGAGTTGACATTGGTTCAATTTCTTCTCTTTTCATCTCTCCATAATTTGCCTAGAGACCCTTAAGATTCAAAGTTTTATTGAGGCTCTGCGACGAAGAAAAAATAGTTTAGACCAAAACCAATTTGTGAGGCTGCATGGTAAATGGTAAATATTTGCGCTTTCAACTATTTTTAAAAATTTTAATTCAGCCCCAATCTTCAGTTATAGATTAACAACCCAGCGATGGTATGATCTATTTAAAATATCTTGGCTGTTGAAAGGAGAAAATGACAATGTGAAGCACCCTTGAAAACATATACTCAAGGCAACTAAACTCTGTTGGGAAAATCATTTTGTTGTAAAAAAAAAATAATAAAAATAGTGGAGTTGTGCCCCTTTAGCTTGAGTTTTACAAGTTTGGTACCATAGCTTTTTTTGGACTATTTATTTATTACCTGGGAAAAAAAATGGATTTTCCTTTTTCTTTTTTTTTTTCATTTAAGTTTACCAAATGGGGATAACTATGGGGCATTGAAAAGAAACAAAGATGCTCCATCCCAATTTTTTCAAAGTCAATTCTATCAGTTCGTATAGAAAAATGTTTTGTGTCAGCTCTTCTTACTCCCGTGGGGCAATTTCTTTTTTTTTTTTTTGGCCAGTTGGGGTAGGGGGGGGGGGGGGNTTTTTTTTTTTTTTTTTTTGGGTAGGGGGGGGGGGGGGGGGGGGGGGGGTAAATGATGTTAAAATTTTGGTCTTGCTGGGATGATAACAACAGGGCATTAGAATAATGTATTAATGTCTTTTTATATTTTGACCTAGCCACCCTAATCATATCATGTCATTTGTGTGTGTGTGTGCAGTGACCTTAGCCATAAAATCAACTTATCAGCTGGCCCCCAGTCAACAAACTAAACTTATCAACTGCTTTAAATTATAAACCATTTGGTAATGTATTACAGCATGATGTGATAGAAATCTATAACTTTGTGATGTCTTACTGTTTAAACTTCTTTGTGACATCTTACTGTTTAACCTTCTTTGTGACGTCTCACTGTTTAACCGTCTTTGTGATGTCTTACTGTTTAACCGTCTTTGTGTCTTAGTTTTAATTTGGGTCAATTGACAGGGAAAATGTATTTCTTCCACCTCCCCCTCCCCCCCCCCCGAAACAGCTGCCTAAGCAAGAAAAATGTTTACTTCCCCCCAAACTTAAAATGCTCATTAGATGTTTGCTTTTTTTTAAAAAAAAATATCTTGCCATAATGTTGTCATGGCATTTCATATCATCAAATCATGCCATGGGCTGCTAAATTGGCTGTTACAATACATGAATCTCATTGCGTTTTTTTTTTATTCCAGTTAAGGACCTTGATATGAGACTTGTGTTCAATGTCTGTTAGTTTTTTTTTGTATTGCATTCATCTAAATATTTTGTTTTGTTCAGAATAGTATGAATTACAATTTTTTTTTTCGTGCTATTGATGCAATTATTTGTTCATGATTTGTGACTTTTTTGTGTGTATTAGTTTCATATACCGGTAGGTGTTAAAAAAAAAAACAAAAAAAAAACTTTTATTGGTTGTGATTTAGGTGTTGTAAATCATTTATAATTTTTTGACAATTTTTTAAAATATTAGTGCAAAACAATGAGTTGTTAATGGCAGTTGGCATGGCCCATCTTCATGTTAGTTATTTGTTATTAATTTCAGGGCTGCAGAGTGGGTGCACGCATTTTTTTGTGTGCCCCAACTTTAGCATATGACATAGGCTGTGTTCTTTTGTAAAAAAAAAAAGGGAAGGGGGTATAACAGAATGGTGAACGCCATAGATCAGGCCTGCACAACATGCGGCCCGCCAGCACCCACTTTGCGGCCTGCGAAGTAAAGAAATATTCTTTATTCTTATTATTTTCTTAATAGCCTTTCCCCCTGTCCTATTTTATTTTGGCCCGCACATGTTTTTCATAAACGCTTACGGGCCGCCTCACATTTTGAGTTGTGCAGGCCTGCCATCGATAGATAATTCCGACTGCTTCTGAAAAATCAATTTTTGTTTTTAAAGCCTGGAATCAAGTCAATTTTCATCGGATAAAAATTCTGGAATTTTTTTAAAAATGTACTTTTTTTTTTTTTTTTTTTTTTTTTTTTTTTTTTGGGGGGGGGGGGGGGGGGCATCCACAAAGGAGTATTGATTGTGTCCAACCAAGATTTCATAATTAAGCTAACTTTGATGATCCTAACAAGACCCACTTTATAACCCTCATTTTATTTTTTCACATTACCCAGTTTTAAGTATAGGCCTCGGTTAAATTTAGAAATTCTAATTTCACAGATGCTGTTTGCAATGAAAATATAAACACCCTTTTAAATTGATACCACGGTCAGAAATAACCGTAGCGAGGAGGAGGAGGGTGCTTGACAAGTCAGGCAACCCTTTTTGGCTGCTGTGCACAAGTTTTGTGATCTTTGACATGGCGATGCGGGGGGGGGGAGAAATTTGAAAAAAGTGGGCAACAATGAACACGGGCAGGAGGCCATTGCACTTTTTTTACTGGCTGAAAGCGGCGGTGTTCTGGTGTCTGCCAAGAGGGGTGTGACCATCTGACAGACTGTGGTGCCGTACCTTGTTACAGAAGATGTCGTTTTATGCTTGAAAACATTGGCATGATGAGAGGAGCGCCACACACCCTATCCAAATACATCTCTGAGACGATAAACTGCGACCCTTATCTGTTTTAAGACAAACATATTACTGAGTTTTAAATTTAAAAAAAATCATTTTCATAACTTATGCCTGTGCGTAAAGGGATGGCTTTTCCTCGTCTCGTCCAGTACAGCTATTCTGTTAAAAAGTAAGAGACTTAACTGACTCATTTAGTTTAAAACCATGTTTTAAAAATATTTTGTGTCATGTAGATTATGATATGTAGTTGCTTTTTTTTTAAAGTATTTTTTGTACGTTCTTTGACAATTATTTTTTTTTTAAAAAGGGACAAAGAAAGAAAAGAAGACGGAACTGAAAACAACAGTAAAGATTTTGAGTTAAATAAATAATTGGAAGAAGGCAGGCTGGGTTTATTTGGGGTGGGGGTTAGCAATGATTTCTGATGCATATGACTGTAGGTGTCTCTGTTGTTAGTGATGACCTCCATTTCATTATGAGGCGCATTTGTTTTGTTTTTTTCTCTCTGCACAAATCATTCGACTCATCTGAACATTCGCTAAGGTCCAGTCCTTTGATTTTGGCTGTANATTTAGGCATTTTTATATAGCGCTTATCATAAAGCTCTAAGCGCTTTACAATTATTAAAACATGTAAACTAAGTAAATACAAATGAGACACTAGGATAGTAACTACTATTCTATAGAAACAATGAAAATGGCTATAAAACGAGGACACTTTGACACTTCAGGATTAAACCGAAACAGAAAATGTGTCAATTATAAAAGTCCTTGGAAAGGCTAAAATCTTATAACACCCATTAAATCGATGGGTTTTTTATGATTCAGTTATGAGATGATGGGACCTCAAATATCTTGATGAGACCTTAAAGTAACAGTTAGCTTCCCTGGCACCCCAGTGATGACTGTACCTCGCGACAAACAATGGAGACTTCTAAAATATTTTGATTGTTTTCAAAGCTGTTTTGTGATGATGTAATAACTAAACAAGGATCGTAATAACTATACAAGATTGTAATAACTAAATGAGGATTGTAATAACTAAACAAGGATTGTAATAACTAAATGAGGATGTGTGCTACAAACAAAATATGGACGTGTACAATACCTAAATATGGATGTGTATAATACCTAAATGTGGATGTGCATACTACCATGCTTAAATAAATGTAAGTTTGTTTTTTTCAAGTTTCTTTGAAGTGCAAACAATAATGTAATTTCTCCCATTGTGTAGAGTGGGCACAGTTTAATTGTGTGTGTCCCACTGCCCACACTCACCTTAAATGTCCTATCTACCACCAGATATCTCGTACTGGAATCGATGACTGTTTGTATGACCCTTGATTTTTGTTTTGTTTGTGACACAACATTGAATATTCATCTCTCTCTGTTTGTCCCTTTTTTTATTCCCTCACACAAAGAATAATAAGTCAATAAACATTTTCTATGCAGCTTAATTCTTTTTATTGATAGCTATTTTTTTGTAGTTGTTACAACAACTTGAGCCAATTTTCTTTAAGTTCATATATTTTGTAACACATGTTCGGGGATTTCCCTGAATTGTGCTGTGTCCTCATCATCTACTTGGTGGTTTGAGCTCCTCCTGTCTTCAGCATGTTGCTTGTAAGTTAGCATCAAATAAAATTTAAAATTTGGTTATAGAGTTATCTGTTAGCACATCTTGTGTGTGTGTATTCAGTTAGTATGCACACTTCCAATGTTTAAAAAAAAACATGAGAATTGAGGCTTTGATTTTGGACACAGGAGCTTTGGGGGGGGGGGGGGGGGGGGGGAGAAATTTGAAAAAAGTGGGCAACAATGAACACGGGCAGGAGGCCATTGCACTTTTTTTACTGGCTGAAAGCGGCGGTGTTCTGGTGTCTGCCAAGAGGGGTGTGACCATCTGACAGACTGTGGTGCCGTACCTTGTTACAGAAGATGTCGTTTTATGCTTGAAAACATTGGCATGATGAGAGGAGCGCCACACACCCTATCCAAATACATCTCTGAGACGATAAACTGCGACCCTTATCTGTTTTAAGACAAACATATTACTGAGTTTTAAATTTAAAAAAAATCATTTTCATAACTTATGCCTGTGCGTAAAGGGATGGCTTTTCCTCGTCTCGTCCAGTACAGCTATTCTGTTAAAAAGTAAGAGACTTAACTGACTCATTTAGTTTAAAACCATGTTTTAAAAATATTTTGTGTCATGTAGATTATGATATGTAGTTGCTTTTTTTTTAAAGTATTTTTTGTACGTTCTTTGACAATTATTTTTTTTTTAAAAAGGGACAAAGAAAGAAAAGAAGACGGAACTGAAAACAACAGTAAAGATTTTGAGTTAAATAAATAATTGGAAGAAGGCAGGCTGGGTTTATTTGGGGTGGGGGTTAGCAATGATTTCTGATGCATATGACTGTAGGTGTCTCTGTTGTTAGTGATGACCTCCATTTCATTATGAGGCGCATTTGTTTTGTTTTTTTCTCTCTGCACAAATCATTCGACTCATCTGAACATTCGCTAAGGTCCAGTCCTTTGATTTTGGCTGTAGGGTGCTGTCCCCATCTTAGGTATGAGATTGTTAAAGTTAGCTCACCAGCCACCATCGTTTCATTATCAGGTTTATCGTGATGTAAATATTTTAGGCAACGTTCACACATATCATTCTTCACATTTTTTTTTTGGTTTAAATTGATTTGGTTCCATACTAATTTTCTTAGCCATTGTTGTGTGTTTTTAAGTTTTGAAATGTTATTTCACAAAGGGTCTGACTTAGCATGCAGCTGAGGTGAATCCCAACTATACACAGTGATTTCAGCTGCACCAAAACCAATACATTTTATTTATTACTTTTTTTTTATTAATCTTAACAATATCACACATGTGCTTGAAGGTTGGGGGGGGGGGGGGGGTCAAAAATATTTTGATTGTTTTCAAAGCT